TCGATGCTTTATGTTTGCAGCGATATTTTGCTCATATGAGCGCATTGTAATCTAGATTGGCGTTCAAAAATTCTTTTGAGCAGAGCTTTTTGTGTATGTTGATTTTTGACGTAGGACTACGTCTGTGATTTCTTTATGGGGGTACACTTTGTGAAAACCAAAAATTGAACATGCAACAAAATTATGAAAGATTTTGAACGTTAATAACTCAGCTGCCGCTGGATCAATTTCAATAATTTTATCACCAATCCATCAGAAATATTTCTACGCATCTGTTAAATTTAAGACTTAATCATTTTTCAAAATGTTACTATTGAAAATTGCACGAATGTGCAACTGTTGCTATAATAGTTCAAATTATCACCAATTGCCTGCGAAAAGCTATTTCCCTAACACAGATTTCAAATTTGAATTGCATCCGGTCTCACCAAACAGTGTTTATTCAACCACCGCTTGGTGAGTGATGGTGTTCTCCATTGCACAACTCATTGAGATGAACTATCCAACGGCTAAAAATCTCTCTAATAAAGACAAAAAAAAAAATCCAGTACACAACGAAAGGCTCCCCGCAAGCAGCTACCTATCAAGGCTGCCCTCAATCGCTAATCGGATTGAGTTCCAATCACCGTGTGTGGTGGTGTCCGGTCGTTGGCATCAGCAGCAGTGCTTTCGGTACGTGGCGTTGAACATTGTTCTCCAGTACACAACAAAAGGCTGCCTGCAAGCAGTAAGCTGCAGCCCACTTGAGCATCCATAGAAGGAGGAAGAAGCCGCATCGCTATCGATCGGAATCAGTAGCTCTTCGTGAGTCGCTGTGGGTCATCTCTGTCGAGCGCGTCATACTAAAGAGTTCACACAGAGAGAACCCCGCTCAAATTCCTATTCCTACACAAAACACAAGCTCTTGCTGCAGTTAACAGATAAGATTTATTATATAAGTCCATGTAGTCCTACGGCACCATTGCGTACAACCCTATAGGGCTGTCCCTTGTAGGTTTTTTCCTTTTAATTTCGCTGTATTTCGTTTACTACTTGCATACTTCATCAGTGCCAAGTACTCAACCCAGTTTCCCTTAAGCAGTTTGGTGCAGCCTGGATGAAAAGAGCGCATGTAGATCGAAATGCCTGCGTCTAAAAATCATTCTGTGGAGCTTATTACTCATGGACAGGCCTGTAACGAATATACGTTGCATCCGCGGAATTGTATACCTATTTAGTCTAATTTTACGTTCATTATGTTATGTTGAATTTGACGAGGTAAACGATCCCACAGATAAAACGTTTATTCGTTTTGAGTCCTGCCTCATATTGATAAGAAATCATTATTGCCAGAATTATTCTGATATAACTTCTATTTTGACACCTTCAATATTAGAATTATTGTGTTATTTTGTTATTTTTAAAAAGGTATAACAGTTTCAAGAACGCTTTATAAGTTTGAGGAATCTTATGTGGTTGTTATATGCAACCCCTTTGCACTATGATGATGCACAGTTATAAAAAGCTGGTTATATTTATGTTACAATGGTGCACATTAAACTGATGCAAATTTAGAAATTTTCGCTCAGCACTGCTCAAACCGTTCCAAATCGAGTCCTGATCGTCTCCCAAAATTTGATCTTATTTGATAAGAAGCTGACTTGGCACAAACCATTTGAAGTTTTTATGGAAATTACTATGGAAAAATGACATGATCAAGCAACTGTTTTATGGACAACACTGTATTCTGCAGTGTAACATAGTAGAGATGCCAGATCTACGGAAATCTCCGTAGATCTACGGATTTTACAATTTTTTGCGGAAATACGGATCCGTAGGCAAAATCTACGGAATTCGGTACAGTTTCTACGGATTTTTTCTTCAGTGTACGTCTCCCTTCAGAATCGAATTTTACAATCTAGAGTATAATCTGATTCTGAAGGGAAAGAAGCATAAAGTAAAATACACCCCTGCAACTTGTCGACCGTTTTCTGCGACTCTGTAGCTCTTCCCTCATATGAAATATCCCGTAAGCAAACGTCAGACTGTGCCTGAAACATGGCGGCCTTCGTACTATCTCTTCACTCCGCCGAAAGTTCTCATAATATACTGTCAATCTTTGCTTGAAGGGAAAAATTTTCGACGGTGCCGTGTGAAGGCGAATAAAAGTCGTGTCGAGACCAGTATTGTAAGCGGTCACCGTAGTTGACACATTTTCTATGATAATCGACTGCCTTTACTTCCGACACTTGCAAAAAAAGCTTTCAAATTACAGTACCAAACTAAAATTGGTTGATTGATTTATCTTTATTAGGGAGGCTTTCAGCCTGGGGCTGGTTCGCCTCCAATTTACCAAACTAAAATGTCATACGACAGGCTCTGTCATACGACACTGTTGCCGAAGGCCGTCACGAATGTATGTATTTTAGTTTTTCTCATAATAAGAGCTGCTGATGTTGTGCTTGTGTGAATTCTGAAAATAGCAAGCATCGATGGCTTAGTAATAACATTTCTGATCAAAAATGGTCTAATTTACACCAAATTGAGGAATTAGAACGAAATCACATATGTCATATGATGATTATTTGATAATTTTCTTTTTGCTCGAATGTTGTTCTACCGTTTGCGTTGTGTAAGAGAGACGACGTTCTCTTCCCCGTCTGCTCGATGATGATCAGGCCTTGAACGTGTTCATCAAAAAGCAGTCGTCGGCTTCATAAAGGAAACTTCGGTTAAATCGTGGCTTTCTTATAAGATTACGACACTACTGTACCGCTGCGGGATCAGAATTGATCAGATCACCATAGATGATCTTGAAACCCCTGCAGTGGATCCTCAAATTGAGCTGGAGACCATTGTCGTGGATAATGAGACAGAATTGCTGATTGGGCAACAGGAAAACCTCCTTTGGAATGAGAACAAATGCCTGGAGACCGCTCGCTCCCGTGCAAAACAGGGTTCCTCTGTCATTAATATATAACGAGCTCGGCGAAGAGATAGCTTTTCCTGCCATATGTTTTGGCCATCTACGGAAATTCATGCCAGGGGTTCGGGTGACATATTTTAAAGAGTCTGAATTATAAAGAGACATGTCAAAATTGGAACAATCGATTATCTGTCAAGTCATAGGAAAAGTCATTCCAATCGAGCAGAAGACCTGTCAAATGAATAAGATGTCGTCTCTTTATAAATTCAGGCTCTTTAATGTATCTCATGATGGCATCCAGTGAAACTCGTCGTCAAGACAAACGTGTGGCCAAACCACAACATTTGTTATATATGACAATGAAAGTTCTTCGCCTTAGAGTTTCCTAAGGCTTGCAATGCACTTTTACGTGCACGGGGACCGCAAACATTACACGTGTCAACCTTAAGGACCACCTTATTCATGGAGCAGTGCATTGAGCGAAATCTATCCTTCCTCAAATCAATACCGAATTCAGTACAGTATTAGCAACAACAACTTGACTGCACTACAAAGAGCAACTATGGTCAATCATGATCCAGTCACGTGCTGTGTGTACTTCAACAAGTTGATTGACACGATTGAATTTCAGCACCGTGGAAGTCCTCACACGCACATCTTGCTATGGCTGAACAAGGATCCCCGAGAATCAACCAGTGAAAGTATGCCAAAAACTACAGGTGCAACAGTAGCATGGTATTCATACCTGTACTACCAACGGCCCTTTTCAGGGTCACCAAGATTTTTGAAAAAAGAGTTATATTTCTGAACATGTCCCAACTAAAATTCATATCAAAAGCTTCATGGCAATCATAGTCATACTAAAGAGAATAAACAGAGAGAATCCTGCTCAAATTTCTATTCCTACACAAAACACAAGTCCTGCTACAGTTAACAAATAACATTTATTATATAAGAGCACGTAGTCCGACGTCACCATTGCGTACAACCCCAGAGGGCTGTCCCTAGCAGTTTTTCAAAAATCCTTTCATCGATTTATCATTTTACGTAAAATATCACCTTGAAACTAAAAAAAAATCCGTAGAAATCCGTAGATTTGAATAAGTCTACGGAATTGCATAGAAAAAAATCTGGCATCTCTGAGTAGCCATGATTTCTGAGCTCTGTTCTACGCGCTAGATACACCAATGTTGCCTTGGTTGATTGAGCATAATTATAAGACATTCGTGACTTGAATTATGAATAACTTTTGTTTCCTACATTTTATCGAAAACAAAGTTGTAGTTGAGAAAATTGTCTGTAAACACAGATATAATTTCTAAATGCAGAGCGATATGGTGAATTGTTAAATAGATATGAACAAAAAAATAGTTCTCCCATAGTAATTTCCATGTAAACTTCTTATGGTTTGTGCCAAATCAGTTTCTTTGTAAATGAGTTTAAATTTTGGGAGGTTTATAAGAACCTAACTTGGAACCATTTGAAAACTGTGGAGCGAAAATTTCAAATTTTGTATCAGTCTTAGGCACATTGATTGTTGTCAATTTATGAAACATTTTAAGTAATATTCCAAACTTTGTATGACCATCAATCTTTGTAAGCAACATTTCTTACAAGATGTTGGTTTACGTGAAAAGAAAGTTTACATGCATGCATGGTTGTTAACATCAGCAGTAAAATTTAGAATGTTTTCCTGTCTGGGTCTAACTGAAATACCTAAAACAGCTTTCGGGGATGAACCTCTTGGGATTTAAAAAAGTCCCCAGGCCAAGCTCAATGCCAAATCATAAAAATATTTTTTTTTTACCAATCAATTGAACCGGAGAGAGGATCGTGTTAGGTAATCATCATCTCATTCCGGGGATGTACAAACAGCTCATTGTTATACCGAAGCATGCCAAAGCAAACGAAATGATTGAAGCCTTCTTATCATGCCTGCTTGCTTATAGTCCCGTTGAACAAGGCATAGGAACTCGTGTTAGCCGCTCTCAGCAAGCTAAGCGATTAATCCGCACAATCCTGTCGAACACTGGTCACTGACCTTAGGAGCTGATGTCCATAAAGAGAATTCCGGTTTGGATCAAGCTCATTTTCACTCGTACACTCGAACAGTAAGGATGCAAAAAGTGATCTTAATCGTCCTCTCCATTGCCGTCTTGTACAGCTCTGGTCAGCAGGTAAAATGTGTACTTAATTCAAAGTATTTCATTCCAAATTTCACGGTGAGTAGATTTTATTGCATTGTTTACATAAACTGTCCTTACTGGAACAAGCATTGCTCGTTTTAGGCGAACTGGTACAAAGCGAGCGAATATTGTAGCTACGTGGGAATGCGATTGGCCATAGTTCCCGACGCGGACGCCCAATCAAAGGTGGTGGAGATGATCAAATCAACAGATAAGTTCAACAACGTGACGACCGAGATTTGGATCGGTGCCAGTGACCTGGCACAGGAATCATTCTTCCATTGGCACGCAACCGGCCACCGGGTGCAGTATACCAATTGGAAGGATAAGCAGCCGGACAATGCCGGTAAGGTGGAGCACTGCGTGGAGGTACGGTATATTCCGACACACGGCTGGAATTGGCACTGGAACGACCGAGAGTGTACTGTGGCACGGTATTTTATTTGTGAAAACTTAGAACTTGGCAAGGAGATCGCACAGTTTTGAATCGGCAGTCGTTTAGAAAGTCTTCTTTTATTCGTCGAAGTAAATTATAATTAGTTTCTAAAAGTGCTATGGTATGTAATAATAAACTTATCGCGTCCGACTCAAGGTCCGACTAAACATTTGCCGAGCATTTTTGATTTTGCAGAAATTTCATAACTTTAAATGTAATGACAATTGTTCTTCCCAGATTCAACAAATCATTAGTAAGAAATATAGTGAACTCTCTACTACGCGATATTTAAGGGACCATCGTGTTATAGAATAGTCGAGTTTTAGAATAACAATCCCATACAAAATGTGTGACAGACATAACATGATTCAATATTTATCGAGTTTTCGGACATCAAGTTGTGGAAAGTTGACTGTACAAAGATGGCGATGATTTCAAGGTTTTAGTGTATTTAATTCTAGATGAACATTTCAAGAGGCATTCGCGTAGCAAGCGAGAGTGCCAAACCCATGTAACAATCTAAATGCTTGGAAGAGTTATTCTTATTTTATCATTGTTTTATTATAGCATCAGACTTCATAGTTTAAACGGTAGCTGCAAGGTGATACTGTATCACTACTTATAACTGAAGAATTAAACCAGAATAAAACATACAATTATGTTTTAAGGCTATAAAACTTGAAGCACTCCTATACCTAAGCTTCATAATGAACATGGTAAAAATTTGTAAAAACTTAGGGAGTTTTTTAATGGTTCAGAAAACTGCGTAGAAGTGGGAACCGCGGTAGGCGACACATCTTCAATTTTAGATGCTCGAAAAATCTCACATCATTTTTTACATCCTCTTGTATCGCACATCATCTTTTTGCGGGAAATCTTCAGAATCGTCATCAATCTTCTTTCTATCTACACAGCGTGCGCGCAGCTAGCCACAGCAAAACAAAATCTTTCCTGCACAGTAGATAGAGTCGCCCTCTCGGTGGGACCTCTATTTAAGTTTTGGGATTTTCGTAGAAGGTAAAAATTATTTAATTTCAGCGAACTTCATAATTGTTCGGGGATGTTCATATGATTTCAGGATACATGATTAAAGTCTCATGAGCTTGGAATAGTTCCGGAAATTCTGTACAAGTTCAAGAAATTCTATACGCGGAAAATCAACGAGAACCGTAGAACTTTGTAGAAGTTTTAGAAATTTCATAGCATTTTGAGAAGCTGCATAAAACATCATATAAGTGCAGCGAATTTTGTAGAAGATCAAAAGTAAGCCAGCTTACTTCTTAGATCTGCAGGGACCCTCGCTTCAGATTAGATAACTTCGTTGCAGTTTGCCAGAGATCTTACTTCGTAAAAGCTCAATGAACTTCTTGGAAGTTTTAGGATCATCGTTAAACTTCAAGGAACTTCCAGATGTGTAAGAATATATGTAGATGATAAGAGTCTTACCATAAGTAATCGTAGAATTACCGTATGCGTGATAATGTTTGCACCATTGAGCAATGTCAAAAAAAATCTCAAAAATTTCGTTTTCAAGTTTTTTTTCATTTATTCAGAGGGGAGATGTTTCTCAGAGTCTTAAACCATGTTAATCATCGATCGAGTTTCCACATGCTGCAATTACGGCCTCCACACGCTTCCGGAATGCACGGCAGGTTCTAATAATGTAGTCTGGATCCATTTTTCTCCAGGTACGGGTCAATGTTTGTCTGAGGCTTGCTGTGGCGTTTAGAACAGGCCTTGGCCTTCATGACGCACCATATTGAGTAATCCAGCGGATTAAGATCGGGGCTGGATGGCGGCCACATATCCTTCGCCTAGAACGGAAGATGTTCCTTCAACCACTTCTGAGTGCGGTTCGAGGTGTGGCACGGAGCCCCATCTTGTTGAAATACAACATTTGGCTTCGGACTATACTGTTCTTTGATCCACGGAAGAACATACTTACTTAAAATCCCGATGTAGACCTCCGTGTTGACCTTGTTGTGTTCTGGAATGAACACCGGGTCCATTTTTTTTGCCATCGGAAGCCACCAATCCAAACACCATAACGCTAGCAGGATGCTTGGTCAGATACACGTTCTTGTGCTCGTCGGCCACGACATTTACCGGAAGAGAACTAAAATACCGGTCGGTTTTGGCATTTGATGCGGGATCGACGGTAAACATGCTCTCGTCGGTGAACAGGATTACCGGATTTTTTCGCTTAAGGAAGTTCAAGATTTTCTTGCATCGTTCGACTCGTAGCTTCCGGATGCGGTTGGTAATCATATGAGTTTTTTTCCGTACCCTCGACTTCGCCCCGCAATCTTCCTTTACGATCTTCCGTACCGTAAAGTCATTGATCCCGTGTTCTTTTGCCATTTTCCTTATTGAACGCACTGGATTCACCCGAATCTTCCTTTTGATAGCAGCGATAACCCTCGGAACCCGAGCTGATCTCGGACGACCTGTGGCCACCTTCGCGGATAGTTGTCCTTTCTTTTCTCGGTCTAAAACCCTTTTGACGGTCCACCGTGACACTCCCACGGCGATTGACATGTCTTTTTGCGACATTTGGGCGTGGGAAAAATCACGAATACGCTGCCACTTCGTCATGGTTCAACTGTCAAACCAAGTAAATCATTTTCTTTTATACAGAGCCTACTACCATAGAGGAAACTCTAAGACCACTGGGTCCCGAAGAAAATCATTATTATTTTTGGCTCACTCAGTACCAGAACAACGGTCCCAAGCAGTCCCAAGCTATTTCACTCACCCCTGCATGTTCTGCATGAATCCACACACTCCTGATGTTATCTGTCAAACTTTCATAGCGAATCAAAACAAACATAGTGTAGTAATAGAATTTCAACTAGAATGGGGTACGCCATAGAAGTACTTGGGACCAATAGGCTACTCAAGCAGTGAATCAATTTAAAATCGTTAGTTTCCACCCCCTGCTACTACGGTATGAGCTGTAGGTTACGTGCATCCAAAGAAAACCAAAGCATTGCACAGTGGGGAAAAATCGACCCAAAATCGCACATAATTAAACGGCGCACGGTAGGAGTTCTGCGAAATAGCCTATCTTATGTGAAAAAAATCGGAGAATCGATTGGTGATGGTCCCGTTTAGGGTTGACTTCAGGAAGTGGTCCGTTTTGCCCGATTTACCCCTAATATTGGAAGAAAAATGTGATTATAAGCCAGAAACTGAGCTTGGTGCGCTTAGATTGAACCAATGTAAACTTTATCCTTGTAAAAAGAGCTGGGGAGTTGAATGGAGCTACTTTTACTTCGATCAGACGTCAGGAAGTGATCCATATTACCCGATTTCCCCTCGGCCTATAAAAACAAGATTAAACACACGGAAAGCAGAATTTGACGGACAAAATATTGAACTTTATGCACTTTACTATTGTACAATTATCCAAGGAATCGAATGGTGTGAAGTTCGCCTTGTGGTGAACACTGTAAAATCCCATTTCATCCTTTGTATGCACTTTCACCATTTGTATGCACAGGTGAAACGGGAACCTTAATTGTACGATGGTGCAAACATTATCACGCATACGGTAAGAGAGTTGGAAAAACTACAAGGGACAGCCCAATGGGGTTGTACGCAATGATGACGTAGGACTACGTGGTATGATATAATAAATATTTTTGTTAACTGCAGCAGGAGCTTGTGTTTTGTGTAGGAATAGGAATTTTAGCGTTTATTTATTCTCTTTAGTATGACTATGATTGCCCTCAGATTAACCAAGGCGCGTACAACCCAGGCGGTTTTTGTTGATTCTCTTATATTTCGATCTGGAATATCACTGGAAACGCACTACTTACCCCAGCACAACAAATGAATGCAAATGATTGTCAGTACTGGATAAGTAGTGGTAGATCTCATAACAGTAACGACCAACTTAGGTTAAATCTAACAACCTTAAGCTGAAAAAAATCATCATTCGATCACATCCCTACCACCTTTCAAATCCCGACAAGAAAGTTAATCAAAAACGCCTTTTTAATTCATTTGGTGGCCCTGAAAAGGGCCGGTTTTTGTTTGAGTCGATGATGTTAATTTATCCTCCAAAACCGTCCCTGTCGCTTCAGAGCGTAAACGACATCCATTGCGGTGACGGTCTTCCTCTTAACGTGTTCTGTGTAAGTAACAGCGTCTCGAAAAACGTTCTCCAAAAACACCTTCAACACGCCTCTGGTTTCCTCGTAAATAAGCCCGGAAATTCGCTTGACTCCACCACGACCAGCCAGAGGACGGATGGCAGGTTTTAATGATGCCTTGAATGTTATCACGCAGGTTGAAACGAAAGTGAACAAAAATTCCTTCTTTTTTTTTTACTTTAAATGATCTTTATTTCTTGTATTTGTGTGGTTTACATGTACTACTTATCAAGTGACACAGATGTGTCTTTTCAACTTAAGTTATTTTGAAATTTTAATTACTATTAACTACAGTTCCTAGTCTGGCCTGTTTTGAAAAAGGAGACTACTTATAACTACTATTTACAATTACAACTAACCTACTACTACTATATACACCTAATCTACTATATACAAATTGCTTATCAAAGCATATTCTGGTAAAATACATTTTTGTGCAAATTTAGTCTTAATTTCGTTAATTCTGGAATCTATTTTGGCAATGCCTGCCTCTTCATGTAAATTTGTTATTCTAGTGTCGAAAGGACGATCAAGAACCATCCTCAGCACTCTATTCTGAGTGATTTGGATTTTGTTCCTGTGAGTCTGTGCACATGATTCCCACATCGGAGCTGCGTAGAGGATCGCAGGTGCTATGATTTGTTTGTAGACAGCCAGTTTGTTTACCCTTGAGAGGCGGGATCTGCGGCAAATCAGCGGATACAGACACCTAACCAAGGCAGAACACTTGATTACGGTTTTCTCTACATGCGAACGGAAGAGGAGCTTTTCATCGAACATCATCCCGAGATAGGTAACTTCAGCAGACCACTCAACCCTTGTGCTATCCATGATTACAGTACAAGATAGAGCCGGTTTCAGTTTGGGCGATTGTCGATGGAGGAACATGATCGCTTGTGTTTTGGAGGCATTGATTTTGATTTTCCACGTGGTGGCATAATCAGTAAAGGCGTTAAGGCATCGTTGAAGTTT